TTGCGACCCGGCTTTGTCGGTGTTTGCTTCAAAGTGTCAGGGTGAATGTCATGCCGTGATGGCTGCTCTCTGTGATCTCGGGGATCCTGGCTGGGGGGATCCCTGGTTTCCGCATTGAGCTTTGTTGCTTCCTACACCCTGCTGTGGCCCTTGGTGGTTTTGTGGTTTTTCCTGTTGTTGTTTTGTTTTATGGGCCTGCGAATATGACACAAAAGTTGTCATCTGCATGCGCCGAGATGATACTAAGCTATCACCTCTTGCCTCAACTGATCTTTTTCACCCACAACTGGAACCTGTCACGTCACTGCTTTGTGGTTGTGTGGTTGTTTGTTTTTTGTGTGGTTTGTTTTTGTTTGGTCTTGTTTTTGGCGTTGTTTTGGTTTTTGTTTCTTTGTGTTTCGGTTCTTGTTCTCTGGAACGTGACAAGGGAATAGGACTTTGTATCGGTCCTCTACCAGTTTACTTTTGCGGCCACTACAGCTTCGGCCCCTGCGTGAATTAATTAATTAGTCTCAATGCAACATGCTTGGAAACATGTTGAACGACCTGGCGGAAGCCATACGGCGTTGGACGGAAAAAAAAGTTACTCAGGACAGCCAATTAGTTTGGTGCCCATATGGCCCGTCTTTTTGCTTTGCCCGTCTTGCTGACTTGACCTTCCTCTCTTTGCGGGGCTTCTCGTCCTTCTGTTTTGAATTCGTTTTTTCTTCTGGGCCTCCTTGGTAAGTCCTCTGTCTGGGTACTCTACATGGGTAGCTGCATACATCCGAGAGGGGCGGTAGTTAGCCGGCCGATGCCATGGACCAGACTGTGCTGCAGTGAGCTTCACCGGTGCACTCCGGTGGTGCTCCCTGTAGGACTGCCTGGGGCGCCCACGAGCAGCACAAGACTGCCAGCATGGTTCGTCAGTTGGGAGAATGATGTGGTGATTCTGCAGCCTGCCTATTCTTTGGGTGAGTGGCATTACGGCCTTGGTTTCGCTACAATCTTCTCCTGTGCATACTGCAATGCACTGCAGGTCTTTCAGGGACGATGACATCCTGAAATGTCCTGAACAGTTCTGTAGTTTGTATGTTTTGCGAACCTACATCAAAGAGAGCTACGCTGCCTAAGACAACACATGCATGTTGGAACACGCGAATACAAATTTGCGAATACAAATCTTTTTGCATGTCGCTCAGCTTCGCGAGTACTGTCGTGGTACTGCGCTGACTGAAGACCAATCAATCTGATGGCTGCATCTCCCCCTATGAAACTAGGGGCATGATGGGTTTTGACGATGGTATGTTGGAAGCTCTTCCCTGGCCCCGTATGCCATCACTGTCCACCCGCCCTCTGGGGGGGATCTGATTACTATCAACATCACGGCTTCGTGGTTACGGTTGACAGATCTGGTGACGACTCTGTCCATGAAGGCATCTGACGAGCTGATCTGAGAGGACGCTGAGAGAAGCTTAATTTGTAGCCCTGCTTTCTTGTACAGCTTGGCTTATACTAAAGTAAACTCGCAAGCTAAAGCCTTCATGTTTGCCTGAAAGCCGTGATTCCGAATTCATTGGCACGTTTTTGATAATGATGCAGTGGACAAGCCACTGCGTCCCATGGCAAATCGATTTTGTGGGTGTTTTTGTTTGGGCTCTGGCCCCGTTTTTTGTTTTGGTTTGTTGTTTTGCCGTTTGCTTCGCTGTTTCCTCTGGCGAAACGCAAGTCTGGCTGGGGGATTTGCGGGTCGTCGTGTTTGGTTGGCCTGTGTTTTTTGTTTGTGTCCAGTTATAATCGATTTGCCGCCTCAATGGGCTTGATTTGCCCTTGTACAAATGTGTTTCCTGCGTATAAAAGCTTTTCGTTGCAATTGGTGGTTCTTTGGTGTCCGGTGGTTCCCTGTGTCTGGGCTTTGACGATGTGTCATTAAGATGCATCATGTTGGCTACATGTCAGATCAACCATCAACAATTTGCATAGGGATCATGGAACTGCAATTAGCAGCAACTCGCGCAGCTGAGCTCACAGTAATTTCCCAATGCTGCGGTTGCAGCTCATTGGTGGGGTATTATTATATTGTTTATAGTAGCTGATGAGTGAGATGGCAAACTCGTTGCTTGCGCGCACCTGATAATTTAATAAGAAATAGGATCGTTTAAAAAGCATCCCATATTGAAATGAAATAAACTAGATTCTTTAAAAACATATGAATGAATATATATATATATATATATATATATTTATATTATTATATATGTAGATATTTACAAGTATTGTTAATTGCATCACAACCTTAGGGTGCTATGACCATTGAACTGGCTCCTTCAAATCAAACTTCTAATCAATTGCTACCTTTCGGTCCTTGTGCTTTCCTTTTTTCGGAGGCGTTCAAGAGGCTTTGGGCACATGTTGTGAAATCAGGGGAAAAATCATTACGGGGTGATTCTCACGAACCGTAGTGGCTTGATTTGCCGCCTTGAGCTCAGCAGTGGTGAACCTGTTCGTGGCCATTTTTTCTGAATCCCCAAGTTCAAGTCTATTTTTGTTGTTTCATGAAGGCTATATGTGGCATGCAATACCTATACTATACTGCTGCCAAAATCCGTCCATCAACCGCAGCTGATTTTGATTTGATTTGGTGATTACCATTGTGAAGTTTTGGAAAGGGTTTGGGCAAGTTTTGTGAAACCAGGGGAAAAATCATGACCGGCGGTTCTCGCGAACCGTAGCGGCCCGATTTATTGCCATGAACTCAGCAATATAGTACTGATGGTGAAATATTTCGGAATCTCTAAGTTCCAATTTTTTTGGTATCTTGTAGGTTACATGTGTCATGCAGTAACTTACTGCTGTCAGGATCCGCCCAAAAGCTGCCGCTGTTTGCTGACTACAATCTTGTTTTTTTTGAAAGGCATTTTGGCAACTGTTGTGCAACCAGTTGACGAACCGTAGTGGCCTAACTTATTGCCTTGAGCTCAGCAGGCACAATGATGGCATGTAGTGATGGTGAATCTGTTTGGACTTGTTATACCATCCGTCTGAATCTCCAAGTTCAAGGTTATTTTTTGGCTACCTTCAACGTTAAAACTTGTCATGCAACTTTCTGCTGCCGAAATCCGTCCGAAAGTCGCAGCTTTTTTTGTGACTACCACATGGCAACCTTTAAACTAGTTTTTGCATCCGAAGATTGAGCATGCATTTGGAATGATAATGGCTATGGGATGATTTCATAGAAACAGTTGGGCAACGAAGTGGGCCAGCCTCAGCGTGTGTGAATGTCGCTGTCCTTTAAACCCAAAGCTGTGACCACAGTGCTGGAATCCCAGAGCATTGGGGTTGAAAAAAATTGCTCTTCCTGTACATTAGTCCGACGAATCTCATCCCTTAAGTGCTTTTGGTTCAGGTCCAAATCGGAGGACGACACGCCTGCTGGCCAACAACTTCCAGCGAAGGTGCGGTGAGTTGATGTGTCGCTTTTGCACCTGTGTGTGGTTCCTGTGTTGAGAAATTGCCCTTGGAGTCCCATTGTGATGTAATGATTATAACCTCTTACAATGCCCGAAGCCAGGACCTCGGGCTTGGGAAGTCAACTCCATCCACTGGGGGGAAGGCCAAACAAACATGGACAATTTTGCATCAGATTCACTGTCGTTCAGAGCACCTGTGACTCTGCGTAAGGCAGAGTTGAAAGCGACTTCAGCAAAGAGTAGGAAGGCCGTCATTTTCACATTCCTGTTGAACTCAATGGTTTACTGATTTTAATGTCGTAAAGTAGGTCACCTGCTATTATTGTTATATGTTTGTTTTGTTTTCGCCATGCAGGTAACGACGAAATCTTCAAACCGGATGGCTCGCAAGGTACGGTTCAGTCCGACTTTCAAAGGCATGTCTTTTTTAAGCCTAGCCAAATTCGGTTTCAAGTTGACTTCCAACTCCATTGTCGACCCAGGTCAAAAAACAGAACATGGTCAAGAAGTTCACTTTCAAGGTTCGAGGCAATCAGTTGAAGGCTGGTCATGGCTGTAACCAGGAAATTCCCATCCATTGGCAGCATTACTGGGAGTTGTTGAGGCCATCCCCGCGCATGGGTGGTGCATGCATGGAAGCAGGGCCCAAAGCTTCTGTTCGATGAGCCTTGACCTGACCAAAGTCCAGCCTTTAAAGATGCGTGTGGTCTGCATCTCAAGATTTGTGCTGTTTCGATTTCACCCCCAAGTATTTTTTTCAAAACAACAAACATTCAACAGTAGCAGATTGCGCGAACTTTTTCTCAATGTAGGTGTTTGATCGCCATGTGAGGTCTCTGAAGCCACTGCCAGTGGGATGAAGCCTAATGGGGCCAAAGTCTTTGTAGGCCAGAAGGTCTTCAAGGGCTATTCTACTATACGCCTGGGCCTTGTTGTTGATGCTGTCCAAGAGCTAGCCATTTCTTTTTAGCCCAGGATGTTTCAGTGCGACGACGAGAGTTGCACGGAATGTGGAGCAGATATCAACCCGCGGGGCCACTGCCTGGGGCCCAATTCTTGGCTTAATTTTTTAGTCAATGAGCAGTTGAGGAGCTTGTTGAGCGCCCAGGATCTTGCCAACCAAATTCGTTTGAGCGAGAGCTACAAGGCAGCCGTGGATGCTGCTGATTTGCCTGCTGGCAAATACCTCTGCCCGCTCGCAGCGGAGTATATCTCAGGCCAGCAGTTACCTTTTGTGTGAAGCCAGCCAATTTGATTTTGTTTAGTAGTCCAAGCTGGATTGATGAGTGCAAGCGAAGTGTTGGAACCCAATTTTTTTTTAGCACCGAGTTGTGGCTCGAGTGGCGATCTGTGGGCGCTCTTTTGTTTTCTTGTTAGCTTTTTCTGTCCGTCATGGCTGCCTCTATAGTTCTTGTCCAGTTTTTGATCCACTTCATCAAATCCCAGCCGCAGCAACTGGAACAGTTGAGAGAGGTGTGTTGCAACATTCTCAGAACGTGTGGCTTGCCCATTTTTTTGACAAGTATCGAAGTTGCTTGGGTGCACATCACCATGGCTCAGATTCTGGTGTCCCAACATGACGGTGCCCTCCTGCCATCGTTGAGGGCGGAGGAATTGCCAATTGACATCGACGTGCAAGGGGCTGCTCCCTGCAAAAAGCCTGGCAGTTTGCATTTGCTCCGAGACGTGCCATATGCTCAAAAGTTGAAGCAGGAGATTCCAGATTGCTTGGCTACGGTATGCAGGATGATGCAGTCGCAAGAGTTTATTGCTTTGCCAGAAGCCGATCAAGATCATGTTGAGAAGTACACGGCTGACTGGATGTTTCTCTTGCAGACTTGTATCACAGTCTTGCAATCTCAGACAGTGCAATGGGATTGAACGGGGCTGAGCTGCGTCAGCTGAATTTTAAAACGTAGAGCTGGCATTACATTTTTGGAGTTCAGATAAAACAAGAAATTTGCCATTTGCTGCCAGTTTTCTTCTGTGGAAGGCTGCCCAGAAGGCACCCGCAAGTCACCAAGCCTGTTTTAAAATGTGGGTAATTAGTAATTAGTATAATATGTTGGTGACTTATGGGAGCTTGTTTTGGCGAGCCATTCCAAGTTGACATATTGCACATGTGTAGGTGGTGCCCGACATGACATTTCAGAAGTAGTTGAAAGCCTTCATCAGTTGCAACAGCATTCCTTGATCTTTATGGCTGGCACAGTTAGATCTATTGTTGGAGGCTTGCCTTTGGAATGGACCAATGGGCAGCCTGGCACTGTGAAGAGGGCTGCAGTCGACGCATTGTGGCCACAGGCTGGGAGCCCCATGCATGTTAGGTCTGGTTTGAACCTGTTTCGGCCAGGCTGAGACGGGACGTGCCATTCCATCAATCTCGTTGTTCAGCGGGATAGGTGGACTTGATTTGGCGTTGCGAAGGTGCCATTATGCTGGTGCTTTCTTGGCAGCGCAGCTCTTGAGTACAGTCAAAGCATGTGCCATCCGCTCACTTGTTTATATTTATTTGGTTCTTTCTTGTGCCTCGCCGTCGCCAATTTTCATTTCAATGATCACCCGGTAGAAAGTGGGTGGCTTAGAGATTGAAGGTGGCCAGCTATGTTTGTCAACAACATCTAGCGGAATCTAGCGTGGAATGAAATTTCATGAATCTAATTAATATCGCAGCAATAGGTCTCATCAGAATGGATGCCAGCTTGCTGGGCCAAGCTTCATGGCAAACCGTGAGCACGGTTGGAGTGAATCAAGTCAAGCTACCCGGCAGACATTTAAGGGCACCTTCAATGTCATGTGCACTGCCAGCTGTTGTAGCAATTTCTTGTCTCTGAGGGTCCCCATTGGAGCAGTTGTTTGGTGTCGTTGGCGAGATGACACGCCGGCGTCTCAATTCAAATTTGGTAGGTGCTGGAAAATCTAGATGTCTTCAATTTGAAGCTTAAAAATCAATGAGATAGCTCATCCAGTTCACTTTATAAGCCACGGCAGGGCATGTCATCCAACATACCATCCAACAGAATCCAACATACCAACATGCCATGTTGGATCACTTTTTTCTGGGCCGCCGCATGCCATGTTAAATTGTTCAGTTTTGAAGCCTTCGCAGGTGCCATTATGTTCAAGTAGAATGCAACTTTTTCGGCGTGGGTGAGGTGGATTTGGCAGAAGAAAGCTTGGGCGAAAATTCCATCGGCCACAGCTACAGCATCAGACAAAGAGACAGGGCAAGATCGAGCAGAGCCCAAGGCTTGAAGTGATTTTTCCAAGTCAGCAATTTTCGCCGTTGTTTTCGTTTTTAGGGTATTATTGGCTTGATGGCAGGTGACCCATGGCCAAGACTGCAAGGATAAAGAGCCGCCTTGCAAGAGACGCAAGTGACGCGTTTCAAGCTGCAGAAAAAACAGTGCAGCAATCCAGGGTCCACTCAGTGATTGTCTTTCTGGTTGCATTCACGCAATGATTTTGATGGCATGTATTTTGGCATTGAATCTAGTTAGATGCTCGCGTGCCCGTTGCCAGGTGGTTTGAAGTGACAGCATTTGACCCTGGCTCAGTTTTTTCTTGAGAGGGTCCCAGGTCTTGCTTGTGTTGTCAAGTGCCAAGATGAACATGCAATAGTAGTATTGTCTACCAAGGTGGAAAAGTCAGAATACTGTCAGCAAGTTCTGCGAGCCCGTATGCAAGAGGGGAACTTGCCAAACGTTCCTATCTGCGATGACGTACTTGTGTTCAAAGCTGAAGGGAGGGCAAAGGATGCTGAAATCACTGTTGGTGGTTTTCCGTGCCAGGCAGGAACATTGCATTGACAGCTTCTCATTTTTACAGCAGTGCGTGATTCCTGCCCGCAGGGGCTGAGTGGGGCCGGTTCCCAAAAAGGACTTCGTGACGCAAGATCCGCGTTGATCAAAGCAATGTTTGCTGTATACGATGCTGGGGACAAAATGCCTGCTCCTCAGACAACTCGATGTTTTGAAGTCAGAGTCAGAGTCTAAGTTTTGAGCTGGTCAGGTAATTTCTGTATTATTTGCTGTGAGTGTTTCGAATTTGACAGGCAGGGGTTATTCATCGAGAACGTGTGGGCGTTGCTGAGCAAGCAGAGATCTTGCAGACAACTGCTGGCTTTTATTTTCAAGGACGCAAGCTTCAAAGTTTAGTGTACGTTTTTGTAAACCCACGCTATTTGTCTGTGCCAGGAGTGCGGTAAAAGAGGCCTCGACATCTTCTGGACCAGTAATTCGGTATTTGAATGTGGTTTTCCCGTCGGGGGCCTTTGAAACTTGAAAGACACAGTTCAATCACTGCAATGTGCCCTCACTTGACGCCAGTGTCGACTATTACTATGATGCTGAATGCTTTGCTGAGATGAACCGCAAGCGTGTTTTTCTCCTGTGTGCCAAGCCGAGCTTCGCAAAAAGACTCTTCAAGGAAATCCAGATGCTTCTCAACATTTGTTGCAGGTTCAGTTTCAAGTGCAGTTGCCCATGATTTAATATTCTTTCTGCCTTGTTGATTTCTTCGCAGGACCTTCCGCAGTATGCCAAGCCAGGGGTTTGGAACCCTGGCAATGAGGTGCCCAAAGTGCATTGGTTGAAAGCCCGGCCCGAGGCGAGGGACCAGGCACGGCTCCACGCTTTAGGGAACATAGTGATCCCGCAGCAGGCCAAGATGGCAATGAGCTGCTTTCAGTCGCTCATGGAAAGGGCCCACGAATGCCAGGCCAATAATTAAGGTTAAAACCTTTAGGGTCTCATGACCGCTACTGAGTTGATTTGGCAAGTCTATAGACTGACTAAGTTTGCTAGCAACTTTTTTTTGGTTGAGAAGGAAGTCAACTCGGGAGTGGTAGAGAGAGCTTGTTTCTTTAGCCGCAAGTCATGAGTTCAAAGACTGCCGGGGCTTGACGGACATAAAATGTTCTTCCAATTTGTTTGCATTCCTCATAATAATAATTAGCAGCTGACAGGAAGAATTCAAAAGTCATGATGTTTGCCACATAATGTGGACATTTGCTTGTGAAGGTGAAGTGCAGACGGAAGTTGATCTTCCATACAGACTTGCACACTGAGAATTTTGTTCGAGCCAGCCGATCAGTGAGTGAGGTGATCAGCATCTAGATCTGAATGACTTCAGCAAAATTTACCCAGTGCGTTGTTCCTGGAGAGGCTGGCACGCTGGCCCCAGCATCTTTGACCGAAGCCACGGCTGAGATGATGATGTCTAAGGATGCTGTAATTTGCTCTTGGTGCACGGCGAAATTGATCACGGTAGACACTGCGGGAAGCCCTGGCCCCACTGACCTCATCCTGCTTTGCTACACACCTCATGCAAAGAGACAGTATGGGAATCATGGAGGATCATTAAGCTAGTGTTGTGAGTTCCCTGCCGGGCTGGTTCTGGGGCGGGATATAAAACATAAATATTGAATTGTTGCAATGATGGTGCCATTCCAGGGCCATGTTTCCCTCCTAAAATAGCACACCTAATGACCCAACATGGGCCCAACACAGACCCCAAATGGCCCAACATTGGCCCCACATAGCCCTAAAATGGTTTCAAAAAAGAGCTTTCGGAAAAAGTCAATTTTTTGTTGGTGTTGTTTTTTCTTGCCCAGAAACTTCCATGGAACCCCATGTAGCCCACCAAATAACCCAACATGGGCCCCACATACACTCCAAATCGCCCAACATTGAACCGAAAAGTTGTCGGCTGGGGTTGTTTTTTCCTGCCCAGAGACCTCCATGGAACCCCATGTAGCGCACCAATCCTCCATAGGCCCAACATAGACCCCAAATAGCCCAACATTCCACATAGCCCCTAAATGTTTTGAAATCTCAACCGAAAAGTTTTCGGTTGGGTTTTTTTCTCCCCCTTCCCACACACCCCCATGTTGGGCCTATGGGACCTATAACAAGATTTCCTTTGGAAGGGGTCCTTGGGGTAAAGGAAACTAGGGTGTGTGCGCGCGCCGCACGAGTCATTCTCCTATCTTTTTCACTTGGGGCCAATACCTTTGAGAGAAAATGTTCACGGGCAAAAACAATTTTAAACGCGCAGAATTATCTACATAGGACTCTAGGACCACCAAAACAATAAGTGACCTGAGACCTTCCCAAAAGGCCAAAAAAAGCATCTCCAGGTCACTTGTTAAAATTGCAACAAATGAGATGTGACTGTCTGCTGCTTCGCTTGGGTTCGTTCTTCGGGTATGTCTCATTGTATAGTTTCCAATTATCCTTTTCTATCAAGTTTAGAAAGTGTCCGGTACGTCTCTAGATGTATCTGAGTGTATCTGTGTGTGTATTTGCGCGCGCGCTAAAATATTGTCCAAAATGGAAGCCTTTTGGCGCGCGCGTGTGCGGCGCGCTCGCAGCCCAGGACCTCTTTCATGTTGAGACCCTTTTTCAAAGGAAATCTTGTTCTATGTTGGGCCTATGTTGGAGATTTGTGGGCTCTTCACGGGCCATGCTGTGGCCATCTTGAGTGTTGGGCTCATGTAGGGCCAAGTGAAAGAACGGCGTGTTCTTCTCGATTGAGTTTATGTTGTTTTCGGGGGTTTTCCCTCCACATGTTTGCTTTTAGAAGTTGGCAAATAAACAGTTCCAAAACCAGTCTGCTTGGGGAACTCAGACTAATTCAGTTTTGATTTCGTTGTGGCATTTGAGCTACATCTGTTGCAATTTCCATATGAATGATATGTGCAATGACTGCTTGAGGATCTTGTACAAGAACACCCTTGCACGGCCAGATCTAGCTTGGGCAGCTCAAATGACTGGCCATGCTGTTTTTAACCAAGTGCAAGTTTGCTGTGATGAGTGGAACGTGAAAGCGGACGAGATTGGTCTCTTTGGCGATGAACATCTCTCCACCGATGATGCCCCAACCTTGTTTAGTATCAGGCCGGCAGTTGTGAGTGTTTTTGCAGATGGTAACTTCAGAAACTCTTTGTGGCTTGATTTTGGGAAACCATCAGGTTCGCAGACAAAACGAACATGATTGTCGTCGGAGTTTGTCGATCTAAGTGGCTGGTGATGGAGCGCGCGGTGAGGCAGGCCTCCCAAAATCACTCAGCCAGCAGGTCAAGTCACTGTGATCTTTTGCTAAATATAACACAATTTCCTTTGCGACGGGTCCAGCTTTTTACGCGCGGACCCCACTCTTCTGAGGACACCTTTCAAGGGAAATCTTGTTATATTCAGAGTTAGATTTGCCCTTTCCCAAGATGTGTTATGGTCCTGCAGGTCTTGCGATTCTGCAGGGTCAGACCCTTCTCCAAATTGATTCGCTGGCTCATGGCAGCGGATTGCTCAGAGACATGTTTCAAGTCAAAATCATTTCTGAAAGGACACCGGAAGACACGGAAGATACGGCGTAATTTGTTTTGAAGGTTGCCGCCTCGGCGAAATATCTTGACGCCAGTCTTTGGGTCGGGCTGAGACTGAGACTCAGTGGTTTACAATTTCACTGCGACTTGCAGTCGCAGCAGCGGGTGGTGAGGGCAAACAAGCGCATTTCCAGTCAGTTCAGTTGCACTTCCAAGCAAATCAGTGAACTTGGGAGTGGAAAGTTGTTTTGCCGCGTATTTGTGTTCCAATCCACTCTGGTTGCTACGTTGTTGCAAGTTTTTGGCTCGCGCACTATGCCCCTACGTGTATTTTGGTGCTGTGCTTAGCAAAAAAACATTGGCAGCCTTATCAATTGCTGAATTTGCAGCAATCCATTTATATACTGTCTATAACTTATATCGAGTAAATCGAGGTTTTTGGGATAGCGCCTTGCAACTTAAGGTCGGAGAGTGTTGGGAGAGAGCCTTGCAAGCGAGAGGCCTCTTTAATTCAGAACCCTTCCATTCTGATTTTTAAGCCATTCGACTTCCACATCAAGTGGATTGAGAGTTGCTTTGACGGTGGTTGCGAGCTGTTGCATTTCTTTTTGACTGCCGGAGTGACATTTGAGGCTCTAACGTTTGAAGACTTGCGGGTTTGCAGCAATCACAATCCAAACAACAAACTACAATTCAGTATTGGGGAAATCGAGAAAAAGTCTTGAGGGACAATTGTCTATCATAAATCAAACCTTCTGTGTGATGAAGTTCTTGTACATATGGTTTCTTTTTCTGGCTTGGGCTCTCATTAGCAGGGCTAGTGCGCATCATGATCTATTTCCTTGCTAATCGGAAGCAAGATGCCGATCCATGGCATGCCTCGCGCCTATCCAGGAGATATCCGAGTCTGAATCTGGAGGAGAAGCGAATGGCCCAGCAAGATGCATTGTGTTGCGGGCAGTGGACGAGATTAGCTCTGATGCCGAAGATGAGCTTCACCTTCCAAGACAAGGCGCTCGGCGAAAGAGATTGAAACGGAAGAGAAGCACTGATCTGCCTTCTATGAGAGAGAGGTTAACAAGTGAGTCGTGCCTCAAGAATGTTTTGACCAAAAAGTGCATCAAGTGCAAGTTTGGCTGCCGGGAAAAATTTTCGACAGAGCTGAAGTTCACTGAGTGGCGCAAGTTTCGTGAGCATTGGGTCAGCCTTTCCAAGCTTGACCAGGACCAAATTGTTACTTGGAATGAAATGCTTTCAGATTTTCTTGCCGTTTGCGCCCCATGGAAACTTAGGGACTGAACTGCCATGACAGAATCTCCGATACTACTATATATCACCATGGAAGGGGTGGGCACATCAGTTATGAGGTGTTCGACCGGATTCGCCAAATTGTCCTTGCTTCTCAGTCTGAAAAGTGCCAGCCGAAATGGCTACTACTGGGTGAACGCGTGTGTTTGCGTGCGTGGAAACGTCTCCATGGATTAGGCCTTTCACTGTCCAAAGTTGTTGCTGCTGCGATGCGATAGATATCAAACTTATTATTCTTAACAAAGGCTTTGAAAACAAACATAGGTCCAACTTCCCCCAACAAGGGCTCAAGATTTCAGCCATGTTTGTCCAAGCATGGTTTGTTTGCAAAATCGTAACTTAGGGTTGCAGATATATTATGTGACGTTCATCTCGGCCGGTGTGGATCTAAGATTTAAAATTATAGCCTGTGGCCTTCAGACTGCTTGAGGGGTTTTCTTGAAGAACTCTTCTTTTTTCATTTTAAGCTGTGTAGAAATACACCAAAAAGCCACCTTCTTGGCTTTTCATCTTGATGATCTTTGGAACTTACTAGCTAGCTGCTAGCCCCTTGGAATCATGATATTTTCCCCAACAGCCAACAGTATAATATTAGGGTCCTTAGCCCAGATATGTTTCTGCTGGGGATCTTCCACTCCTGGTTTCGGCAACGTTGATCATAGGCACTGCTCGCTTTGACCGACTTCGAGAAGCTGTGGATGCTGGTAAATCAACGCCTCCAGTTGACCTGCGGTTTTTGCAATCTGAGCAGCCCAAAGAGATTGATGGCTCCAGCAGTACATCAAAGATTGTTTCGTATCTGGAAACCTTGTACACATCAGTCGCAGAGACACTTCCAGATCACAGAGAGGAGTTGGCTGATCCGGGTGATGCCTGTGTTATGTATTCTTTAGACAGCATGCCCGATGACCCTTATGCAAAATTTGCTGACATTCAGAGGCAGCTTTCTTTGCATCAAGATATGGCTGGTGCTGCTTCTAGCAAAGTAAAAGTCCGTAAGCCCCGCAAGAAGGTGAAAGGAGGCGCTTTAAATCTCAATCCGGACAAAGCGGGCATGGAGGAGAGGTACCTGCCCCCAGGACGAATGATGGATTACTACCAGCAATTCGTTGCAACCTTGGACGATGAATCGAAAATTTCATTCTGTCAATTTTGGCGTGTATGGAGCTCCAACTACAGCCACATGAAGTTTCGATCGACAAGTTCGCACAGTGTGTGTTCAGTTTGCACCAGACACAAACTCATGATCCGTGAGTTATCTGGACATCTCAATGCCCGGAAAAAGCAAACGGAACTGTTAGCTATGCATCTCCGCTCCCAGTACTTAGATCGAGCATTGTACTGGGAGCGGAGGGGTGTGAGCAGACTGGGCTCCATGGGCGAGGTTACAGTGATTATTGATTCTATGGACCAACAAAAATTCTCATACCCACGAAGCGACCTGTATCGTGCCAAAGACCTGAGCACGTTGCAGCGCCCCAGGGCGCACGTTACTGCGGTAATCGTTCACGGATACTTCGTTCTCATAGCGATTTCTGACCACGACATGCCGAAGAATTCAAACTGTATGTGTGAGATTCTAGGACACGTTTGGACCCGTCTGAGAATGAATGGCATCGATACCACACGGCTCCGCTTTCGAGTTCAAAGCGACAACACGTCGAGAGAATGCAAAAACAATATAGTTTTAGCATTCTTAGCATCCCTTACAGCGCGTGGCCTGGCCGCAGGCACGACATTGTCGTGTCTGCGGTCAGGTCACTCGCATGAAGATGTTGACCAAATGTTTGGGAAGCTTGCTGGATGGATGAGTTCGAAAGGTCGCTATGCCCGCCACCCAGATGACTTCATGCAATTGATCAGACAGTGGCTTTGTGAATTGAAACGCCCATACGAAAAGGACCGTTATTGCGTCAAACTTGATCAGCTACGTGACTGGCAGCTTGGGCAAGATAGGGCAAAGTGTTAGTGTTGGTTGATTCTTTCACCTGGCAAAGATTCCGGTTTAGCTGTTTTACAGCTTTTTTTTCATCAATGTCGTGGATTTTGAAGCCTCCAGTGTGTTGCAAACAAGGAGAGGATTTTTGGCTGAAGCCGTGCCGGTGGCCGTTAAGGGCATTGCTGGACCAGGAGCCCCCCATCAGTTTGACTTTGATCGCAGAGAAGCATTGAGCAACTGAGACGAACATACCTCAATGTCAATGTTACCTTTATGTTTTCACTTTCTCTTGATATCAGATCGTTTCGGATCTAGTCCCCGAGGCAGTGAGGATATCCTCGAGGCTGGCGATCACTGGCGCATCGCAGATCATCCGCATGATGTGTTTTTGAGAACAAAGTTCTACATGAGCGATTCCAAGTACAGCCAATGTCATTTGTACTTGCCCAAGCATGTGGTTGATGGCAGATTTCCTGGTGGCCTTCCTGCAGGTGGTTTGTTGTTAAAATTGTTTTCAACTGTCCCAAGATTCTTGGCATCCCAAGATTCTTGTTCAAGCTTGTGCCCTGGCAGGACTGGAGGAACGCAATCCCATTCCGAAGGAATATGCAGACCACATCGAAAAATTCTTGCCTCTCATTCGTTCTTACAATGAGACGGCTGCTGCCCAATACCTTGAAGACTGGGTCCATGGCAACTTGGAGCTGGCCCCATTGCTAGACGTGTCCGCGTGTCTGGGTGGACGTGTTTAGCTGGTTTCTTGAACCCTTTTATGTTTTTGTCGGCAAAGGTTTTTCGTTCAATTTCTTTTTTTACAATTTTCGATTGCAGGTGTGACAGTGTGCGTGGTGCTGGTTCAGCACTTGTGCCTTCCCGACTACCACGCTCTTTCGAAGCAACGCCAAATGTCTTGACGTTTCTTTGCAAACACTATCTTTTTAACTATCCGGTTTCCTTTCCCAACAAAGTTCTCTCTCTGGGTGGCGATGATTCTTATTCTTTGTTAGTTCGTTCGTGCGTTTTGAGGCTTGGGCGTGGCAAAGATGCCAAAAAACACACAACAAAATACCTCAAGTCGGCCCATGAGCGAATCACGCTGCGTTCTGCTGCTACAGCCTGGGCACACGGCGTTCCATGGGGAGAAGCCGTGGATTTGTCCCGCAAGGTGATTGCAAAAGTTGCGAAGGCCGCTCCAAAGAGCTTGCCCAGTCGGTGTGAACATAAAGTTGCTGCCGCCAAAGCAAAGGCGAAGGCACGAAATCGTGCGCATTAATATTTTTATCCAGTGATTTTGCATCAAACCATTCTGACTATTATCGGCATGCTGCCTGCAAGGCTGCGCTGGGCGGTTGACATCAGAATCGATAAGTGATGTTAGCAAGGTTTGGGATCACATTTTTTTGTGTGCCCTTTTTCAAACCTGAAGGAAAATTGCAATCACATGTTTGCACGCCCTGGGCCGGATTTCCATTTTTCTCTTTGCCTGTAAGGGTCAATCCTGGGCCCAAAGCGGTTTGGTTTCCATTTGCGATGCGGCGTCTAGTCAATGTGTTGGAGTTTGCTGATGGGAACAGAAGGTGAGCAATCCCACCCTGAACTCTAAACGGTTCGGTTTTCATTGCGGCAGTGAAAATTCAGTCCAATAGGTTGGCTGTTGTTGAAGCAAGTGATCAATTCCACCTTGAATCCCCGTGGCGGGAATAAATTTCAATTTTGTATCAAGTTCATGCGCTGACCATTTTTTTGCCGAGTAAAGGAAATAATAGTAACCATTTCCACCTTGAATCCGTCATTTGTTGCCATAAATCCTAAACGGTTCGGCTTTTTGCCTTTACTAGCTATGGCAGTGTTTGTTGAATGGTCAATGTACTGCTAATGTCTTATCGAAAAAAGGAAGTGAACAGTTCCACCTTGGATCCATCAAGTTTGCTTATGATTAGTATCTATGCCCTGGATGATTCAATTGTTTTTGCGGCAGTGAGATTTATTGCGCTGGATTGGTTCCTTTTGACAGGTAAGCATAGTTTCCAATCACTCTTTCTGAAATGTGGCCCTTTATTGGTTGGATTTTGTTAGATTGGCAAATTTTGACGAGGAAAGGAAATGAGCAATAATACTAGAATGCTTCCATTTGTTTATTTGTTGGTGGGGTAACTCTTTGAAAGGTCCGGTTTGTATCTGCAACAGTGTTAATTTCTTCCCATGGGTTTAGGAGTTCAAAGTAACTTATTGTGTGGAGCGATGATGAACCCTTTAAGTCGCCAGTTGTTTATTTTGGACAGTTGACAGGTGAAGTTGCATCAGTTTCAACATTGACTGCCGTGTTCAAGGCTCGGCACATCTGTTTTTTTTTCAATTTCAAGTTTAGAGCCATCACGTTTAGAGATGGCAGCAAACCAAGAACCCATCACTTCCACGTTTCAATCGGTGAAATCCATCACTTTCTCAGGGCTTGGACTTCACGCGTGAAAGTGACGGATCCTACCTAGGATCCATCACTTCGATTGATGTTGGTACAGTTTGATTTTAGATTTTGCGATGCACAAGGTGGGAGGACAGGTTCAAACTTTGACGAAGTGATGGATCCTAGGTAGGATCCGTCACTTTCCAAGGGGTTGGGATTCAAGAGAGAAAGTGACGGCTCCTACCTAGGATCCATCACTTCGATTGATGTTGGCACAGTTGGGTTTCAGATTTTGCGATGCACAAGGTGGGAGGACAGGATCAAGCTTTGACGAAGTGATGGATCCTAGGTAGGATCCGTCACTTCATCAACGTTTGGGATACAAGAAAGAAAGTGACAGATCCCACTTTTGGATCCATCACTTCGACGGATGTTGGGGAAGTTGGGTTATCAGAGTTTGTGATGCACACGGTGGGATGTTCAAACTTGGGCGAAGTGATGGATCTTAGGTAGAGTAGAATGCTTGGACCTGCTTGGATCTTGATTTTCCGACACGCAAGGTGGGAGGATACGTCCGAACTTCGACGAAGTGAGGGATCCTAGGTAGGATCCGTCACTTCATGTCTGGGGAGTCGGCGATTGCCTGAGAATGTGATGAATTTGTTTTCTAATGATAAACATCATGGAGTGATGTAATATTGGATGGTTTGCTGACAACCTACGGAATTCAATTTTGATTTTTAGCAATGGGATCCATTGCAATGAATTGTATTGTTTTAACAGGAGAAAAAGAAGTAACTAATCAGCCCTGGAATCCATCACTTTTGTTCACTTGTCGCGGTAACCCTAAACCCTAAACGGTTCAGTTTTCATCTACGGCAGTGACATTTAGTCCAATATGGGCTGACTGGTTTTGAGGGGAAACAAAGTGATCAATTACACCTCGAATCCATCATTTTGTTCACTTGTCGCGGTAACCCTAAACCCTAAACGGTTCAGTTTTCATCTACGGCAGTGACATTTAGTCCAATGCGCTGGTGTTTTTTTAAGGGGAAACAAAGTGACCAATTACACCTCGAATCCATCACTTTTGTTTACTAGTCGCGGTAACCCTAAACCCTAAACGGTTCAGTTTTCATCTACGGCAGTGACATTTAGTCCAATATGGGCTGGTGTTTTTGAGGGGAAACGAAATGACCAATTATACCTGGAATCCATCACTTTTGTTCACTTGTCGCGGTAACCCTAAACCCTAAACGGTTCAGTTTTCATCTACGGCAGTGACATTTAGTCCAATGGGCTGGTGTTTTTTTAAGGGGAAACAAAGTGACCAATTACACCTCGAATCCATCACTTTTGTTTACTAGTCGCGGTAACCCTAAACCCTAAATGGTTCAGTTTTCACCTACGGCAGTGACATTTAGTCCAATGGGCTGGTGTTTTTTAAGGGGAACCAAAGTGACCAATTACACCTCGAATCCATCACTTTTGTTTACTAGTCGCGGTAACCCTAAACCCTAAACGGTTCAGTTTTCATCTACGGCAGTGACATTTAGTCCAATGGGCGGTTTTTTTGATGGGACACAAAGTGACCAATTCAATTACACTTTGAAACCATCACTTTTGTTCACTTGTCGCGGTAAACCTAAACCCTAAACGGTTCAGTTTTCATCTACGGCAGTGACATTTAGTCCAATATGGGCTGGTGTTTTTGAGGGGGAACGAAGTGACCAATTGTACCTGGAGTCCATCACTTTTGTTCACTTGTCGCGGTAACCCTAAACCCTAAACGGTTCAGTTTTCATCTACGGCAGTGACATTTAGTCCAATGGGCTGGTGTTTTTTAAGGGGAAACAAAGTGATCAATTATACCTCGAATGCATCACTTTTGTTCACTTGTCGCGGCAACCCTAAACCCTAAACGGTTCAGTTTTCATCTACGGCAGTGACATTTAGTCCAATATGGGCTGACTGTTTTTGAGGGGAAACAAAGTGACCAATTACACCTCGAACCCATCACTTTTGTTCACTTGTCGCGGTAACCCTAAACCCTAAACGGTTCAGTTTTCATCTACGGCAGTGACATTTAGTCCAATATGGGCTGGTGTTTTTGAGGGGAAACGAAAGGATCAATTATACCTGGAATCCATCACTTTTGTTCACTTGTCGCGGTAACCCTAAACCCTAAACGGTTCAGTTTTCATTTACGGCAGTGACATTTAGTCCAATATGGGCTGGTGTTTTTGAAGGGAAACGAAATGACCAATTATACCTCGAATCCATCACTTTTGTTTACTTGTCGCGGTAACCCTAAACCCTAAACGGTTCAGTTTTCATCTACGGCAGTGACATTTAGTCCAATATGGGCTGGTGTTTTTCAGGGGAAACGGAGTGACCAATTATACCTCGAATCCATCACTTTTGTTCACTTGTTGCGGTAACCCTAAACCCTAAATGGTTCAGTTTTCATCTACGGCAGTGACATTTAGTCCAATATGGGCCCGTGTTTTTGAGGGGAAACGGAGTGACCAATTATACCTCGAATCCATCACTTTTGTTCACTTGTCGCGGTAACCCTAAACCCTAAACGGTTCAGTTTTTATCTACGGCAGTGACATTTAGTCCA